GATTCTCCTTATGGGGACCTGATATGTTTAATATGCTGCTGAGAATATAGCCCAGAAGAAGCGTATAGTATAGCTTTTATTTTGGAAGAGCCATTTCTCTGTAATAAACTCTTTTCCAAAGATGAGGGATTCCTCGATCAGATAGATTTATTTTTTTTATCCCTTTGTTGTTTCAGCAACATTAAATTTAAAAACTGTACTTTTGAGTTAAAATATATATTTATAATTTTAATAAATGACAAATTAAAAAGGCATGAACATTTTTTTGTATCGAAAAAATATTGAACCGTGACACCAAAGTATCGAACCGAACCATGAATTTTGTGTATCGTTGCACCCCTAGAAAACAGGCGTCACAATAATAGACCTCATGCTTCTTCAGACCGCAGCTGAAACAGCCAACCAACAATCTTCTACCTCCTTCAAACTGTTTTAATACTTTTTAAAAAGCTTTTAAACTCCAGTCAGGGATTTACCAAAGTAACAGGAACAGAGAGGTTTCCACATACATCTGTCATGTAAGAGCTGTTGACCTAAACTCGCCGAGCTCAGGGGGAAGAGAGGCTGCGTTTTACAGTCATGATTTTCCCCTCGGCTTTACCGTCGCCCTTTAAAAACAACTTTGGCTTTGTTGGCTTGAACGACGCACAACCTGCACACGCATGAAGCATTTGTACACCAGCTGTCCATCATTGTTACTGTGTTAGCGTGACTTTAGCAACAGTCACAGTCACTCACAGATAATCGTCCCGCGGTTACCCGGAGCTCAACCAGGGTCACTGAGGGTCTCAGAGAGGCTTTCTAAGATCATCATGTGTCATCCACTCACGTTCATGTTCGGTGTAGATGCAAAAGTGAACACCTCATTGTCGTCCTGAGCGCTGTTCTTGAACTTCACCTTTTCAGCTTCCGCTCGACCATAAAAAACATGCTACAAATATATGTTGAATTGAGAGAAGGTCGACTCTTAAAAGCGTGTTAGAAGTGGAGAAACTCTGCTCTGCAGGCCTGGATGGTCTTCAAGCAGCTTCTTTGGCTTCCGTTTTTAAGGCTTCACTGTGTGTTTAATGAATATCAGAGAGAGTTCAGAGCGACTCTGCAGGATAAATGTTCACACTGGAATTCAGTTTCTGTGGCGCGGTTTGAGCTCTGGACACCACTCAGTGTCAGGATACAGAAGGCAGTGGACCGTCTTAAACCTGTGAACACAAAGAGTTCATTACAGGAAACCATCAACAATAATTAGAACAACTGTGATTGTAGCTCATACAGATGGTAAACGTAACCATGCTTCCTGATGTTCAGACACAGCGAGTGTCAGTGTTTACCTTGTGGGGTCCTCAGCCAGTGAAAACCCTCCAACCACACCGACTACATTTCTTCTGTTCTCAAACCCTCCGTAACTCAGAGTCACCTACAGCAAAACAATCATACAGTGTACAATAAATCAACATTTAATGGAGACTGACGTCACAGCTGCTGCCACTGAAAACCCCCCTCATGTGAAAATGACGGATTTTAGTGAATCTAAACAAATGTATATATTAAATACAAAAACATGTAGTTAGGGCTGGACCAGCTGACCCTGAATCCTCCCTTAGTTATGCTGCAATAGACGCAGGCTGCTGGGGGATTCCCATGATGCACTGGGTGTTTCTTCTCTCTGCATTGAATCATATCTGTTATTAACCTCTGTCTCTCTTCCACAGCATGTCTTTATCCTATCTTCCTTCTCTCACCCCAACCAATCACAGCAGATGGCCCCGCCCCCCCTGAGCCTTGGTTGGGTTTTCTCTGTATGTATTATTGTAGGGTCTACCGTACAATACAAAGCACCTTGAGGCGACTGTTGTGATTTGGCGCTGTGTAAAACTGAACTGAATGCTTTGTAAGGTTGTATTTCCTAAATGCATCAAGATATTAAACTATATTGGGATGAATCTGAGCTTCCGTTATCAAACTGAGTGGGTTGGTATCATCTCCCGCTCACCTTTAGTTCACACTGGTTTTGTGGGTCATTTTATAAAATCTGTTAACTGAACTACATTTAGAAGTTTTTCAGGTTTTGTTTCAGAGCTCTGTAAAACGCCGTCCCCAGCCACCTCTGGCTCACCTGCTCCAGCACAGTGTCAATGGGCAGCTTCTGCAGGTTCTCCAGGTGAGAGTGGAAAAGGTGCGTGTGTGTCAAAGCGACCTCCAACAGCGCCTCGATGATGTAGCCGATGGCGCAGTCATCTGGAAGTCGGATCTTCTCTGCTGTGCTGATGAAATTCCCCAAACTGAAAACACAAGACAACAGTGTCCAAGCTGAGCTTTCTCAGGATCAACCATGCAGAAAATCAAGAGGACGTGTCACCCTCACAAGGGCTGCACAGAGATTTGATGCGAGTTGAAAAGAGCATGCATATGTGTATAAATGTATATATTTTGCACCAGAATGTACAAAATATAAGAGCATAGAAATCCTTTCAAAGCAGAGGCAGCATCCTACCTGGCCCACGGACTCATTTTCAGGGCCAGACCTCGACTGATACAGAAACCTGCTCCACCTGTGGCAAACCAGAACTTGACAGACACCTGAACCAGAAAGGAAAGAGCACATTAGCTAGCTCTTATTACATGTCGCCAACTTTCATGTCACAGGGGACTGTGGACAGGGTCGCCAAATTTCCCTTATTTGTGTGCGAGTGGAGCCATAAAAGCGGAAAGGTGACCCACCGAACCGTCACTCTTGACCCTCTCTGCAGCCTCTATAGGGTGATCCAGACTGGGCCGGCCCAGGTAGACGTCCTGGCTGTGGTGGTAAGACGAGAGCAGCCGCAGCAGGCTGGGCAGGATCACGTAGTTGTCATCATCCACGTGGCAGAACCACCTACGACGCAAACACACAGGGTCAGACGTGCAGGCTGAGTCAGAGCTAACTGCTCCATCCTTGCAATCACTCACTTCCTCTGAGACTCGATGAATTTATCGTACTCTACAGACATCTTGCAGCACAGAGCCTGTCGGGTGTGAGCTGCTGAGCAGTTAGTGTTGATGATGTTAGCTCCTGGTGAAGAGACAACAGAAAAGACTTTAACCTAAGATTTCTTAGAGCATCCCACTGCATCTCCATATGTAGACTGGATATAATGGCAGTAACTCTGCTTTGTTTCAGATCTGCATCGATCCATGTGGCTACAGCACATTATCTTTGTGATGAGACAGCATGAGGGTTTGAATAGACTCCTGCAGAGCTGTGTGCAAAATTCTAAGAGTTTTATAAACAGACAGTGAGTGAAGAAGAAGAAACACCCAGTGCATCATGGGAATCCCCAGCAGCATAACTAAGGGAGGGTTCAGGGTCACCTGGTCCAGCCCTAACTATATGCTTTAGCAAAAAGGAAAGTTTGAAGCCTGATCTTGAAAGTAGAGATAGTGTCTGTCTCCTGAATCCAAACTGGAAGCTGGTTCCACAGAAGAGGGGCCTGAAAACTGAAGGCTCTGCCTCCCATTCTACTTTTAAATACTCTAGGAACAACAAGTAGGCCTGCAGTGTGAGAGCGAAGTGCTCTAATAGGGTGATATGGTACTACAAGGTCATTAAGATAAGATGGGGCCTGATTATTTAAGACCTTGTATGTGAGGAGCAGGATTTTGAATTGTGGATTTAACAGGAAGCCAAAACAGGAGAAATCTGCTCTCTCTTTCTAGTCCCTGTCAGGACTCTTGCTGCAGCATTTTGGATTAGTTGAAGGTTTTTCAGGGAGTTTTTAGAACTTCCTGATAATAATGAATTACAGTCGTCCAGCCTGGAAGTAATAAATGCATGAACTAGTTTTTCAGCGTCACTCTGAGACAGGATATTTCTAACTTTAGAGATGTTGCACAAATGGAAGAAAGCAGTCTTACATATTTGTTTAATATGTGCGTTGAAGGACATGTCCTGGTCAAAAATGACTCCAAGGTTCCTCACAGTGTTACTGGACGCCAAGGTAATGCCATCCAGAGTAAGAATCTGGTTAGATACCATATTTCTAAGCTTTTCAGGGCCGAGTACAATAACCTCAGTTTGATCTGAATTAAGAAGCAAAAAGTTAGCGGCCATCCAGGTCTTTATGTCTTTAAGACATTCCTGCAGTTTAACTCATTGGTGTGTTTTATCTGGCTTCATGGACAGATAGAGCTGGGTGTCATCTGCATAGCAGTGTAAATGTATGCTATGTCTTCTAATGATGCTGCCTAAGGGAAGCATGTATAATGTAAACAGAATTGGTCCTAGCACTGAACCCTGTGGAACTCCATAATTAACCTCAGTGTGTGAAGAGGACTCTCCATTTACATGCACAAACTGGAGTCTATTAGATAGATATGACACAAACCACTAATTATTCAAATCAAATACCTACAACAGTGTACTCTAAGGGCTGTAATAAAATATTATGCTCAGTTTCTGTGCTGTGATGAGCTCTGGAACCTGACTGAAACTCTTCAAATAAGCCATTCCTCTGCAGATGATCTGTTAGCTGTGTTAATGTAGCAGATAAGCACAAACATAACTGTGTTGTAACAGGAAGTGATTGATCTATAACTGTCTTTATGTGATGCAATTTGTCTGACAGCACCATCATTGTGCATCTCAGTTCTAAATATTTCAAAGCTAACTGTCCACAGTGCTGACACGCTGGCAGGAGCTGGGCTTCTTTGCTTTGGGACACCCAGAAGTCAGGTTTCACTCACAGCACTGTGGACTCAGTCATCATTTTTCAGCCTATTTCAGTCTTTTTAAAGGTCTAATTTTTAACGTTGTAACAACAGCTTTTGTTTGTCCAAATGGTATCAAAAAATACTGCTGAACATCAACAGTTTCAAATATTGCATTCTCATTATCAGGATGAGTGTACACACACGTTGTGAGAAAGGTCAGTACTGCACAAACAGCAGTGTGCAGTCTCCACTGTGTCAGTACAACATGTGATCACACTGCTGCAGCAGTCTGAGGGACATTTTGGTTGTCATCCTTTTTCCCTGTAAAACTGGTTCCTCTTACCAGTCCTCATTTGCAGCTCCTTGTCATCACCATCAGTGAAAATGAAAGTCTGAAACAAACAAGGAAACGCTGTCAGAGTTGTGCAAGTGCACAATTACACAAGCTAATGCTCTGCAGTGAGGACGCAGTGAAGAACAGCTTCGCTCCTTTGTTTGCTCTCCTTGATCAAGACGATCATTTGCAAGAGGAAGAGCAGAGATGGAGAGCAAGTAAGAAAGACCGCTTCATTTACTTTAGAAACACACGGTCACCAGCTGCACCGACTCTTTATTTCAAATTATTTGTGCTACATTCATCAGCTGACTCCTCACTCTACACTGGGACTGATTATTTGTGCATAAGGTGACATCAGGCTGGACTTTACATCGTTCTTTTAATGTAAAATAAATGTAGCACATCCACCCCTCCCCTTTACAGCTGCAGGTCCAACCCAACCACCTCTTCCAGCACTTCAGGAGACACACTGAGATGGTCCCAGCACACGCTGGAGAGACGATATCTCCAGCGTGTGCTGGGTCTGTGCCATGGTCTCACTGGGAGGAGGACTTGGCCCCAGTCACCTCATCTAAGGGTCATTTCAGGCATCCTACATTCCCAAACCATCTACAGCTCCGGCCTCAATCATTTCTCTCCTTTCTTAACCTCCTTTATACTGTATGATTACACAGGTCTGCAACCAAAACACTGCACAGGATTTCCTGACTGTTTCTTATAGATTGTTACTCACTGAAACCAGGAAAATATTTTAAAAATTACATACATTACACCTCTTTGCTTAGGCTGCTGCCCCCGCGACCCGGCCTCGGATAAAGCGGATGAAGATGGATGGATCTGGTCAGATTCTCTTGCAAAACTCATGTTTTTAGTTTCATTAAACAAAATTTCCTTTTTTACTCTGGAATCCTATACTTGAGTCAAAAACATATCCAATAAGGATTTCTTACATTAATTTAATATTTCATATTTATTTAATATTTCTAAGAGTGAGACTCTTGAGAAATAAAAGTAGAAAACGTGAGGCACTGAGGGGCTTCAGCAGGCGGGCGGGTGCGGTGGGTTTGGTGGTGTGAGAAGCTCAGAATAGTGATTTTTTTCACCGCTGTTGGGCTTTTTTTAATGTAAATAACTGCACGTGATGGAGGGAAGTGGAGTTTTTGGATTCAGCACACTGAAAAACATAAATTGACCAAAAACATCCAAGCAGCTGAAAAATGTGTTGTTTTTTTGCAGATCTGTGTGATTTCTCTGATGATTAGTTAAATGGAAGGACTGCATGTGACAGGAGCTTCAGTGAGGAGCAGCCTTCAGTTTCACAGGCACATTTACAGTTTTTTCTGATTGCTTAAGCACAT